GAAAGAGGGAGGTAGAGAGAAGAAAGCATAAAACAAATTTATCCAAGCAGAATTTGGATTTTTCAAGCGTCACAAACATCAGTGGGAAACATCTAAGAGAAATACCAATAGCAGCAGTTCGTAGAACAATTTCTCCATTAAACTCCAGCTAATATCTTTGTTGCATCAATTCCAGAAGCAACTTGCTTAAGAAATTGGAGGTCTATTCCCTATATAAAGATATTCCAAAGCATCCAACCTCTTAGAACCTTCTGTCTGCTGAAGTTACAACATCCAAATAACAATAATTTATATTTAAAACAAACCTCTTAACTATCCTATAATGCTATACATTCTTCAAGATGAACAAAATTGTGTTCACGTCTCACTTAATTTGCAGGTTAAATTAAGCAGGTCTTTATACAATGAATAAAGACTGCTTTCATGCATCTACTATTCAACATACACAAAAACTATCTTGAGAGCTAAATTCTTCTAGGTATGGAGTGAAACGGAAATGTTATTTTCAGTGCTCTTTATGACATCATCTTTGTTCCAACCTGAGATTTAAAAAAAAACAGTATTGGAAGGAACCTTAAAAAGCCATTTAGTATACCCCTTTAATTTTAAAATGTTTAATTTTATTAAAAAAAATCCTTATTCCCTATTATTCTGTCCTTGATGGAGATGGAGAACAGTTTGTCATATTATCAATCTTCCTACTTTGAGTTCTTCAATAAACGATTCAATTAATAACTCAAGAGTTATTAAACTGTCTCAACAGCTCTCTCCCCTCCAGAGTTAAATGATCTTAATCCTTTGAACTTTTTCTCATGGATCTTATTTCCAAGTCTATATTTCATTCCTTTTTATTTCTGCTATATCCTCCCCTCCCCAGTTCCCATATGATTCTAAAATACAACATCCTAGCAGGAAATGAATCAGTAAGAGAGGTACTTTTTCTCACCTCCTCAAAGGCCTCCCTGGTCTCTTTTTAGTGGTCACTAATAAAGGAAAACAAAAGCATCACTATCTGCTCATCATAATAACAAGTAAACACAAGTAAACAACTTGCCCACAGCCAGTTCACTCCCCACTTTTCGGGTGATAAGTTTGCCCTTCACACGAAGCATTTCCTGTGCCACCTTACTGACCTTTCTATTGTTATTTCTACTGTTTATTTCCAGTGCTTTGATCTTGCCTCATTAATTCCTTCCTTTTCCCCAAAGCTCTAGAAAATACCAGTTTTGATTTACACAATCAATGAGAATGCATTCATTTCCATCATATTATTCATAAACAAAAAGATAAACAATGTAGATCCTAAGGCTGAGACCTACGGGCCAGTACTTCTGTTTCTCTTGGTTGGCTGGGTGGGGCTACTGAATTTATTCTGTTAGGCAAGTGTACACCCACTATGTCAAGTTCTTGTTAAATATCATGCTTAGACAGACTCAAGAGCTTGGCTAGAATCAAATAACTCCCTCAATCTATACACTTCAGGGACATTTGTAAAATTTTGTTAATTTTAACTTTGGATTTTTAAATTTTTGAGATAAGAATCCAATCCTTAATGACTTTTCACCTTGATTAAGATGACTCAAGTGTTGCATTATATTAAAGCACTCAAAACTGTTCTATTTATAATAGAATGACAGTATGACACGACTTTAGTGATTATGAATGAGCTATTGTGTCATTTTAGCTCAACTTTGTTCTTCAGTCACTGAAACACAGATACTAAAACCCAATATACATATTTTTCATATATATATATATATATATATATATATATGTAGCATTGTTCATACCACTTTGTAGATTATAGGCCATTTCCTAAATTACAGTCTACATTCCCAAAAGCAAATAAAGCAAAAAATTCTACACATTTTGTCTTTAGTGCAAAGCCTTTGAAAACAAACTCATTCAGAAATAGTGCTCTACATTTAGCTCTATTATCTACAGTCACACAAGACTCAGCTACAAGAAAGTAAGGAAGGAACAAATTAACAATAGTGCCAATACAATAATTTGAAAATCACATCTGGATTATCTGGATTCAACCAAATGTTAGCTGATAGCTGCAATAAACCAAACCATGATTTAATAAATATTCTAGTCAGTTCAAATTTTATATTATTATTATTATTTAGGAAATAAATTCTCTCATACTAGTTATCGCCCATAGGCAATTTGTTTAGTATAATTACGTACATCCAAGGCCTCATTATTGTTACCTCTTAACTATACCACATGTACTAAGTACTCTGTGAGCTATATAGGATAGGATACACTTTAAGAAGATTAAACAACACTTCTCTATTAACTCTTTTTTAGAAGATGCAGAATCAACTAAAAGTAACCTTCCAAAAAAATTTTTTTTCCACACTGAAAAAGATAAATAGTACTCTTGTGACCAGAAATTCTACAGAAGTCAGCAAGATGTTAGGATAAATTGGACTTTAGTTTTATTTATTTATTTATCTATCTATTTATTTATTTATTTATTTATTTATTTATTTATTTATGGCTGTGTTGGGTCTTTGTTGCTGCGCAGGGGCTTTCTGTAGTTGTGGTGAGCGGGGGCTACTCTTCGTTGTGGTGCGTGGGCTTCTCATTGCGGTGGCTTCTCTTGTTGTGGAGCACGGGCTCTAGGCACGCAGGCTTCATTAGTTGTGGCTCGTGGGCTCTAGAGCACAGGCTCAGTAGTTGTGGAGCACGTGCTTAGTTGCTCTGTGGAGTGTGGGATCTTCCTGGACCAGAGCTCGAACCCGTGTCCCCTGCATTGGCAGGCGGATTCTTAGCCACTGCGCCACCAGGGAAGTCCTGGACTTTAGTTTTAAAACATGTAGTTTTAGTGTTTCATAAGATCTAAAATCTGGATGTTTTATTTCTTAGTAAAATGAGCATTACTTCATGTGGTAAAGAAATAAATATACTTGTAAAAATTTAATTTAAAGGTTAGGCTTTTAAATAAATTCACAGCTCCTTTCTTAGTTTGGATATTTTTCTTTACTTAGAGGTTGTGATAACTGACACAATTCTAACATGAAGATCCTTAACTACAGTTACACTGAGCCTCTGCTTTTACTGAGAGTTTGACCTACATTCATAACACTTTTAAATCAACAAACCTATTTGATATAGAGGGGAAGCACCTATATAGTTTGGAAGATTTTCTTTAACTGTCTGCAAATTAACTGATTAAATTATATTCAATGCAAGAACACTATTTCAATTCAAACCATGCCCTGAGAAGGCACTAAGAAATTTGACAAGAACCAAGCCACTAGGAATGTTGCCACTACTCTTTTATGTTTGGTAAATGTCAGAATTTTAAATAAATACAATAAATTTACACTGCACCAAGAGCACCTGAAACAAAGGTGCTGAAACCACATATTGTAACATCTGTTCTAAGCTAGAAATGCTAAATACCTCATATCAAATACTCTAATTTGTAAGTTAATACCTGTGATGTAACAATGACACTTTTCCACAGTATACTGGGAACAGTGCCATTTTCTTGCCAATTCTATGGATTAATTTCCTTAACTAATTCTACAATTATATAGCATTTATCTGCCTTAAAAAAAAAACGTGCTATACACAATTACAAGAATATGGAACTAAGCTTAATCACACTTTACTAAGAAAACTCATTTGTACTGTTTTGTTTCTGTTGAAGGAAGAATGACGTGTTACCATAATACTTTTAATGTAATGACTTTTGTTCAAGATTATGAAAAAATTTGAATCATTTCTCTCCAGACCATTTCATTTCAAATGTATACAGTTTGTTTAGTCAGCCAACCAAAAAGAAAGAAAGTAAAAGGAAAAAGATAACTCAGCCAGATGAGACAGAGAATGCTAACTCGAGTTCAATGCATGAAGTTCTTGGTTGTTCTGTTCCATGGGCCAGTGCAAAGCAATGACGTACTGGTGAACACTACACAGAACGCCAGGTCAGTCCATTTTTCCAGGGCTCAAGAAAATTCTCAATCAAAGCTTCAATGAGTTTCTTCAATTCCTCTTCTAGTAAGGCAGTGTCACTGAGGAAAAAGGTTAAGAGTTTTGAAGTTCTTTATTTTCATAGCCTTAAAACAACTGGTAAATGAAAGAGAAATTCCCTCAGTTAAAACAAAACAAAACAAATTGAGACCAAAGGTGGGAAGAGGGGAATCACACACACAGAAAATACCATTATCACAAACTGAAATTGAACCTCATTAAAAGGAGTTCCTTGGTACATGAAACATGGATGAGTTATAATATATCTAAAGATTTCTCCTGAATCAGATAATTTAATGGCTTAGAACACCAATATCAGGTATTAAGATAAAATGGCTTCCTGAGATGTGACTAAAAAAATGAGATGTTTATAAAATAGCAAGTATTCCCTTCAAAGTTATCAACTGAAGAGGTGCCACTGCCCAAAACATTTCTAGGAATGCCTCTTTAAAACTGCCTTCACAGTCATTTTACAAGCTACACAACAAATCAATTTTTTTTACTTTAATAATCAATCTTCATTCTTAACCAAAGATAGCATTATTCAATATGTTTTACTTCACACTCTGCTCTGAATGACTTCAGGAGGTCATTTTTTTCCCCCAAAGAAAATAAAGTCTGCTCCTAAATACAAAGATTAGGGAAACAGTAAATAATGTAACTTGGGCTCTGAAGGCAATTCCAAAAAAAATCTCCTTCCCAAATATATATTGATCAATGACAACCTTATAGGAGATACTACTTATGAAAGTTTAAAAAGTTTAAATACTCTCTGAATATATTATTAAAGTCAAGTTAATTTAGTCACAATTCATACTCCTAAAAGGATATTAATTGGCCAGATTAAGTCAAATCATGTTACATGTAGAAAACGAGAATGTGGCAATAAACAAACTACTTGTTGATCAATTCTTTATGTTCATCAAGAGTTAAAGCTCAGGGCTTCCCTAGTGGTGCAGTGGTTGAGAGTCCGCCTGCCGATGCAGGGGACGCGGGTTCGTGCCCCAGTCCGGGAAGATCCCAAATGCCGCAGAGCAGCTGGGCCCGTGAGCCATGGCCGCTGAACCTGCGCGTCCGGAGCCTGCGCTCCGCAACGGGAGAGGCCACAACAGTGAGAGGCCCGCATACCGCAAAAAAAAAAAAAAAAAAAAAAAAAGAGTTAAAGCTCAGAGAGCCTTCCCAAGAATATAAATTCACTAAAAAATTAAAATTCAGTTCCCAAATAATGCAGCCTCTTTGGAAAACAGTCTGGCAGTTCCTCAAAAAGCTAAACATAGAACTACCATATGACCCAGCAATTCTACTTATATATATATATGATATATACCCAAGTGAAATGAAAATATACATCCACACAAAAACTTGAACACAAACATTTAGAGCACCATTATTCATAATAGCCAAAATGTGGAAATAACCCAAATGTCCATCCTCTGATAAACGGATAAAAAAATATGGTATATCCATACAGTGGAATATCATTGAGCCATGACAACAAATTTTTTAAAAAAGGAATAAAGTACTGATTCATGCTAACATGGATGAACCTTGAAAACATTATGCTAAGTAAAGATGCCAGTCACTAAGGACCACATATTGCATGATTCCATTTATATGAAATGTCCAAAAGAAGCAAACCTGTAATGACAAATAGTAGATCGGTGGTTGCCTAGGGCTGGGAAGGAGGGGAGTGGAAAGTGACTGTGAATGGGTATGGGGCTTCTTTCTGAGGTGATGAAAATGTTCTGAACTTGATTATAGTGATGTTTCCACAGCTCTGAATATATTAAGAAACATTGTTGTATACTTTAAGTGGCTGAATGTAAATTACACCTCTTAAAGCTTTTATATATACATAATATTTAAAAAGTCAATTCTCACCTCTGGTCAGGTGACGCACACATCTCTGCATAATACTTTATCTTTGGTTCTGTCCCACTTGTCCGAAGAGTAGCAACACAGCCATTTTGAAAAGAAAATGTAATCATTTGGCTGTTTTTACTCACAGGCAGCACCTATGCACAAATGCAACAACAGCTCAATTACACTTGGTACCTTTCTTTTCAAAAGTTGTAAAATACATTCCACTTATATGAGGTGTGTAAAGTAGCAAAATTCATAGAAAGAGAAAGTAGGAGGGTGGTTGCCAAGGGCTAGCAGGAGGGGGAAATGGAGACTTGTTTAATGGGTATAGAGTTTCAGTTTAGCAAGATGAAAAAGTTCTGGAGATCTGTTGCACAACAGTGTGAATATGGTTAACACTACTGAACTGTACTCTTAAAAATGGTTAAGATGGGGCTTCCCTGGCGGCGCAGTGGTTGAGAATCTGCCTGCCAATGCAGGGGACATGGGTTCAAGCCCTGGTCTGGGAAGATCCCACATGCCGTGGAGCAACTAGACCCGTGAGCCACAACTACTGAGCCTGCACGTCTGGAGCTTGTGCTCTGCAACAAGAGAGGCCGTGACAGTGAGAGGCCTGCGCACCGCGATGAAGAGTGGCCCCCGCTCACCGCAACTAGAGAAAGCTCATGCACAGAAACGAAGACCCAACACAGTCAAAAAAAAAAAAAAAAGGTTAAGATGGTAAATTTTATGTTTTTTAAACTGCAATTAAAAATTTTAAAATATTTTTAAAAGAATTGTAAAATACAAAAGATTACATGCATAATAATTCACAGCTGTACCATTTATTAAACATTTATAATTGTACAGGCACTGGATTATATACCTTACACACATGATCTCCAGGCCTCAACAATAATCCTGCAAAGTAAATATTACTGCCAATTTACAGACAAGGCTCAAAGAGAATAAACGACTTGTTCAAGGTAATCAGCTAAGTGGCAGAGCAAGAAGTTGAAGCCAGGTCTATTTGTACCAAAGTCCAAACTGCCTCTATGTTTGCAAAGTGTTTTAGAATTTCAAAGCACTTTCACAGATAGTTTATCAGTAGTCTCCAAAGCAGAGTGCACATATCCTAGAGGACAGGCAAAATAACCCACTGGGGTGCAAAATATATATCTATTTTTTTTTACCTAAAAGTTAATACATGAAATGGAGCTTTACTGGGGTTTCCCTGGTGGCGCAGTGGTTGTGAGTCCACCTGCCGATGCAGGGTACACGGGTTCGTGCCCCGGTCCGGGAAGATCCCACATGCCAAGGAGCGGCTGGGCCCGTGAGCCATGGCCGCTGAGCCTGCGCGTCCGGAGCCTGTGCTCCGCAACGGGAGAGGCCACAACAGTGAGAGGCCCGTGTACCACAAAAAAAAAAAAAAGAAATGAAGCTTTACTGACATTAAATATATGGATTAACACTGGTACTCTTCCTGGATCACAAATCAGTCTGTGAAGGTATCTAGAGGGACCCGTGGCGGTTGTACTAGGGCAGAAGGGTTGACAGTGGTGCCTTCCCTCAGGTGTAGCGAGCCTGGTCCTCTCCGTGAGATCCCTCTCTCAGTCAGTGGTACTACTGGTTGCTTAAGACAGAGACCTTCCTTCCCCCTTTTCCACTCACAGGCCATCAACTAGCAAGTCCTGTCGATTCTATCCTTTATTTAACTCAATTTTGTCTGGCTCTCTCCATCACTACTACTACCATTCAGGCTCCCATCATCTCTCATCTGGATTACTGAAACAGCGTACTAACTGGTCTCCCTGCCTGGAAGTCTGCCCCTCTCTAACCCACTCACAGGCCATTTTTCTTTGCACTCCACACTACAGCTGTAGAGAACTCACTGTGGTCTTTGAAAGAAAACATGCCTTCTCACCTCCAAACATAGCACTTGCTGCTCCCTTTGCCTGGAACATCCTCTGTTCCTCCCACATCTGGATAACTCCTACCCAGACTCTAGGACTCAGCTCACAGAAGTCCTCTGCAAAGCCTTGTGTAAGCCCCTCAAATCTGAGTAAGGGTCTTTCCTATGCTCTTCCATGGCACCCTTATGTACCCCCAGTAGCCCTTATCATTTTGTAAAGTAACCACTGTTTACTTGACCATTTCCCCACTAGACTCCCGAGTGTAGAAACAGTGTCTTTGTCATTACTGTATTGCCAGTGTGCCTGTGCCTGTAGCAAAGAAGGGTTTTAATAAATGCCTGTTGAACACACAGTTAATGCCAATCTGAAGTTGGAGAAGAAAGAACTCAGGAAGTCTTTGACAGTCACTGTGTGTGACCTTAGGGGATTAACAAATATCTACACTATGAGTCTTACAAAACTGTTGTAAGCATCAGTGGAGAATAGATAGGAAAGCACTTTGAATAACAAATATCATAAACTTTAAAGGGATTCAAGAGGAAAAAAGCATCACACCAAGAACTATTCTAACCACAGCAACATTAGAGAAATAAAAAGAAGCAAAAAATTTGGTTCTTTTCAATTAGTTTACGAAGACAGAAAAATAGATACACACATATGTGCACACAGAATGACAACTGAGAACCAATTTTTGTTGACTGGATGAAAATACACAAAGGGAATATGGGTAGTATTCTACATAAAAGGCTTGAAGATTTCCCAAAATATATTATGCGCCTAGAAGCTTGAGACAACATCAGAAATTATAAATAGAAATTTAGGCTAATAATTGTAATCATAACAATAACAAAATAAATATAATCAGCAATCTATAGGGCTTTTAAATATTAGTTGAGCACCCACTATGTAGGCAGGAGCTTTGACAGGCATAAAGCTATATTAGAAATGGATCTGCCATGAACAAGACAATGATAACATAAGATAGAAAGTGATAAATGACAAGAAGAAGGCACAATATATAATGAAACCTCAGGAGGACGATATCGGATTATGGGACCTGGAGGGTATGTGGAGGAGGTGACATCTGCATGAAGTCTTAAAATGGCTAAAGTGTGGATAGGAGTAGGAAGCAGTAGGAAGAAAAGGTAGACTGAGGAAAAAGCCTGAGCAAAAATAGAAAAAAAAATTTTAATGTATATATGTAAGAAACTATAAGTTATTCCATTTGGCTGGAGGTATAGGGAATAAAGTTGAAAAGGGAAGTTAAAACTAGAAAGATGAATAGCTTTGAAATTATAAGCATTTATTTATTTATTTATTTTTAGGTGCTAAGATGATTAGGTAAAACATTAAAATTTTTAAAAATTTTAATTAAAATTTTTTTATTAGATTCTTTTCCATTATAGGTTATTACAAGATATTGAGTATAGTTCCCTGTGTTATACAGTAGGTCCTTTTTGGTTATCTATTTTATATATAGTAGTGTATATATTTTAATTCCAAACTCCTAATTAATCCCTCCCCTACTTCCCCTTTCGTAACCAAAAGTTTGTTTTCTATGTCTGTGAGTCTGTTTCTGTTTTGTAATATGCTCATTTGCATAATTTTTTTAGATTCCACATATAAGTGACATCATATGATAAAATTATGGGCTTTTAAACTTTATTTTCAACATTATTTAGCATCATCACACCTTTCCCCTCCCTCCCTTTCTCTGTCTCTCTCATTCTCCTTCCCGCTCCCCACCCACAAGGGTAGCATACACTTGAGGGAGTGATGAGGACAGGATGGGAGTCAGAGCCAGTTGGTGAACTTACAACTGCTCTCGAGAAAAACAATGGATCCTAGTTTCAAGAAACTCACAGGCTTGACCTTCAACTATTTTACTGTAGTATGAATTACTACAAATTGTTGAAAATTAAAAAAAAATAGGTACTTACTGATTTCTTATTAGGCTGGCTGCTATCATATCCAGTGGTAACATCTCGTATATGCAATATAGCACATGTCCCACAAAACTTTGGGTATTCTTTTGGAGAATCAAAATTGCGAAGCCTTTCAAATATACTTTTGATGGTAGTTGGATCATAACACAAGAAATACGAAGTTTTTGAAATATGATAACCATATCTGCACAGAGATTTAAAGTGTTAAAATCAGATTTCAACTCACTCTTTCGAAAAGTATGTATTAAAGATAAGCCTATTACAGTGTTATGTAGAAAGTGGCAGTCCTTAATGCAGACAATTTTAGTACTTTTTAAAAAGGAATGACTATTCGTCAAAAATAAATTTAGAAGGTTAAAAGTAGCACCAAAAAAATAAAAAAATTAGAATGCGAAATTCCTAATAGTAGAACTTACTTTTCATAAACCTTAATCAGTTGTTGTTTCAACGTTATATTCATGGTTTCCAGGTAAGATGCCATCTCAGCAACAACAACGGCTGCACTCACCCCATCCTTATCCAAAACTGAAGTTCCACACAGAAAACCTACGAATTAAAAACATCTTTAAAAAGAAGGAAAACATAAGCCTATATATAATTTCAATAGTTTTACATTTCTTCAGAAGGACCAATGAATTTAAAAGCCTAGTAATAAATGAAACCCACCGATACTGAAGGTATTTAGGGGACCTTTAAGGTCTTTTTTTTTTTTTCCTGATGAGAAATGTATCTACACATTTCAGAGTTCACGGTGTTTCTTTTTTAACTCAAAATGCAAAACCACATGACAAAAACTCCTCTGTACAGAATTAACTATATTTTAAAAAATGCTCTCATTCAAATTTCAAATATTTTAATATTTACTACATACCAATAGACTCTTCAAATGCAAAAAGGACTTCTTTCCCATTTTCCAGGAGGTCTTTTATCCTACTTCCGATCCATTTAAAACCTGGTAACGTTTCCTGAAATGCAGAGAAGGCCATTCTAGTTAAGTGACTCTCTCATAAAAATACAAATTAGAGAAAAGCCTGTCACTAAATGCACATAACACTTCCATAGTGATCTTCTGTTATGGTCTTCACCACAAAGATTTATATAGTGGTAAACCTATAGTCATAAAGGGCATGGATACACACACTGTCGTGACTGATGACCTACCATTTTATCGAGCACAGAAATAGGTGATGTAATCCACCAAATATAATCCAATAAGTGGTGATGCATATAGTCACAAAGTAACATAAATACACACATATATTATGACCATCTGCTATTTATCAAGCACTGTAACAGCTGCTTTACATTATTATCTTTTTTAATACTCACAAAAGCTCTGTTGCTGAAACAGAGGTTCAGAGGTTCAGTAAATTTGCCCAAGATTACACTGCATGTAAGAGATGGAGCCAGGATTCAATTACACTGCTTCTTAGAAATTGTCCTTTAAGCTGTATTCTAAGCACTAATATAAAAGTGCCTATGAAGGTTGTAATTTAGTCCATCTGAGTAATCAAAGGCATTAAAGCTTTTTAATGATACACTTTTAACATTATCACAACATATACTTGAACCAAGTGTACTTTTACCATAACAGCATGGCCCAAATAAAACCATCAAAAAGTGACTAAGTCCTTCTTTGGAAATTAGATTTGAGGACTTTTCACCTGATGAGCTACTGTTCATTTTAAAGACATGAACTCTTTTAGAGTCAATAGAAAGAGCATGTAATACACAGTGACTCTGGAGCTCTCCATTACTAATTTAAGATTTCTCATTCACCTCTCTACCTCCTCACTGGGAAAAAAAAAAAGCCAAAAATCTCTGCAGCACCCCATCCCCAACAAAAACAAGGAGGCACATTTATAAATAGGTCTTTAGAATCATGTTCTTTTTTCTCTTTTGTGTTCATTATACATTTTTCTTCCTACAAGGAAAAGGTTAACATTAGAGTAATTCAGAATTTTAGGTTTGAATAAATTTTCAATTTCTTCTATTTTGCTATTTGTACTTTAGAAAGCCAGAGACTGGAAGTTCTATTTCATTAAGGAAGATTCAATTTTCTTTTAGTTAGCCAATTAGTGTTAAGACCTATAGCTTGATTGTGGCTCAAGAAAAATGCCCAGAGGTGACTTTTTCACTGATATTTGGCAAAGTTGGCAGAGGAAAAGTAACTTAATTGGCATCAGTCCCAGTAGCTATAAGAGTGGTCAGTTTAACTGCCTGAGGATCACAAAGGTTAATGATCTGTGCTGAAAGAGAGTCATTATTTGTTTTTTGGATGTAGAATCACTGGGTCTTAATTTGCAATCTAGGAGACTACTTAAAGTTTCTTAAGACTGAACTCAAAGAGCCTAAACATGCAGTCAATGACACCTACAATTTTTTGGAGTGGAGTTTATGTGACTGATGAGGTCACTCGGAGCCAGATTTTCCCCGTGTGAAAGCCAGATACTGTCATATGGAATAGTAAGCATTAAGGCAATTTTTAAAGAACGTCCTATCTTAGTTTCATAAACTCACATACAGGATGAATTTGGCTCAAGGTTACTAAACAATCAAAAAAATTAAGAAAGTGTTAACAGAATTAGAAAAAAAGTGGGAATTAGAAATGAAATCAATAAAAGTCAGTTTTGGTGGGAAGATGGCTTTAATTTATAGAAATAGGTTTAGAAAAGGAGCAGAGAGATATTATCTATTCTTACTTCAAAGTGAAATCCTTCTTTTAGTGCAATTGCCTTCAAAATTTTGGAAGAGACTGTGGTGGCTAACATATAAATGTTCTTCACATCAGCATTTCTTGATTTATTTTTCTTCCAGCAATCAAACATCCACCACCCAAACAAAGCTGCCAACTCATTCCCTGTGAAAACTTTCCAATCACCACTGTAGAGAGAATGAAAATTCAAGTCAAGACCTTTATAACTTCTCATTAAAACTACTTGACCCCAGGACCTACAAATTACCATCATTCACACAGGAAAACCCAAAAACTACTATATGGGATTTTTGAGAAAACATTTACTACTACTTCTCTAACTGACCAGGGAGAGCTTAGGGTAGGAATGGCAGCAAAGTACTTTGAAAAATTATTATGCTGTTACTTTTATTTTCTTACTTAATGAGAAATATGTTATAACATGATGTCCTCTTTATGGAAAGACATTTGTCACCATGTTATAATGGCAAAAATACACAGCAACCAAAAGGACCATGATTAGGAAATGATTACACTGATAAAGCAATCTGCTGGGATACTATGCCAGTTTAAAAATGAATATTTTAAACAATATTTAAGGACAGAGAAAAATGCTCACAGTACAATATTAAGTGGAAATAATCAAGATACAAAACTATATATAGTATGATTACAATTTTATAAAAAACAAATATATCTTAGATATTTGAATAGAGAAAACATAGGAAGGAAATGTCAAAATATCAACCTAGGTGGTTATCTCTGGATAGTGGGCTTCCGGGAGATTTATTTTCTTCTTCTTCTTATTTTTTATTATTTCCAATGAGCCTATAAGACTTAAAATCAAAAACTAGTTTTTAAAGTTTAAGCTTTTAATCAAATAAGAGGTTCTACTTACTTCTCCTGAAGTTCTGCCACTGCCAGTCGGTCTGCATCAGGATCTGTGGCTAGCACTATCCGGGCATTTTCTTTCTCTGCCAGTCTCAAAGAAAGTTCCTGAAATGGTGACCCAAAAAGCCAGATTGCATTGAAGATGTTAAATTCAATGTAATATTCCTAAATGTAGGCACTATGTTAGTGATATGAATTCTAGAAGGAACATAGTTTGGCTAAATTTTTTTTTTTACTTTATTTTACTGAAGTATAGTTGATTTACAATGCTGCGATGATTTCTGCTGTACAGCAAAGTGATTCAGTTATACATATATATACATTCTTTTTCATATTCTTTTCCTTTATGGTTTATCACAGGATACTGAATATAGTCCCCTGTGCTATACAGTAGGACCTTGTTTATACATATAATACATTCTTTTTCATATTCTTTTCCTTTATGGTTTATCACAGGATACTGAATATAGTCCCCTGTGCTATACAGTAGGACCTTGTTGTTTATCCATTCTATATGTAATAGTCTGTATCTGCTAATCTAGTTTGGCTAAATTTAAAATAAGCCTAGAAGTAGGGATATCCACCATAGAGATTTCAAACAAAACAGAATATACGGCTCTAATAGAATTTAAAAGATGTAAACTAAAGTGGTTTTTGCTTTTGTAAGTAATCTTTGAATTGTCAAAGAGTTCTAGCTATATGACAAAGTTTAATACACTAATAATAATTTAAATATAGAAAAAATATACCAGCACAGATTCCCCTTCTTCAGGATTTGGGCATTTAACAGTAGAAAAGTCTGGATCAGGATCTTTTTGTTCTGGTACTGGAATTGGAGGCTTAAAACCAAATACTTGAAAAGCCAACTGCACATAGTCATGTCCGACTCCATGAAAAGATGTATGTACAAATTTCAAGGTGGTTTTTGAGTTTAATTCCCTGTAAAGGAAAATATCATTCAGTCAATATCATAAAACTCACTACTTGTGGTATAATTGAAATAATCTAGAGAAAAAGCTAAAATTTATTTTGCTAGAATAAGGAAAATATATTCAACAAGCCATGATATTTTCTAAAAATAGTGTTAGCTATTTATGGAATAGTCACAGAAATATAGAAATAGGTAAGGAAAAATCAAATTTTAGAGGAAATTTCCTTACCTTATACAGAGTGAATACATCTATTCAGCTATAATTTTTAACAGCTTTATGAGAGGTAATATACTATAAATTCATCCATCTATAGTATACAATTGAATGGCTTTCACTATATTCACAGAGTTGTTCAACCATTACCATAATCAATTTTAGAACATTCTCATTACCCACCAAAAAACTCCATACCCCATAGCCACCACACCCTAATCCTCCCATTTTTCCCAGTCATAGGTAGCACTAAATACACTTTCTGTTTCTATCTCTATAGATTTGCCTACACTGGACATCTCATATCAATGTAACCATACAACATGTGGTCCTTTGTGACTGGCTTCCTTCACTTAGCCTATTTTTAAAGTTTATACATGTTGTTGTATGCAACAGTACTTCATTTCTTTTCTCTGCTGAATAATATTTCATGGTATGGATACACTACATTGTATTTATCCATTCATCAGTTAATGAGTATTTGAATGTTTGTGTTATTTCTACTTTTAATTATTATGAATAGTAGTATTTAGCGATAATTTTAATATAAGGAATAGTCAACACATTTTTATCCCCACTGCTTTCTCTTATTTGTTAATCTTATGCTAAGGTAATATTATCCTATATTCCCACTTGGATACCTGTAAAAACAGATCTTTTTCAGATCTTCCATGTATCTCCTACAAATGTCCTGCAGAGGATCTCTCTTCAGTGGGCTGGTATCCACTAAATTATCATTCCAGGAACCATTCCAGGGTTCCACACATTCTTCTATACATTTCAGAATTTCTTTATCATGAGGAGATGTGATCTGAGCACCGTTTTCCCAATAAACCTAGATGATAGGTAAACACAGCTGTAATTACTTGAAATGTTGGCCATATGTTTTCTTAGCTACAGTAGAGATATTTTACTTTAAAAAGAAGCATACCTGGACTTCCCTGGTGGTGCAGTGGTTAAGAATCCGCCTGCCAATGCAGGGGACACGGGTTCAAGCCCTGGTCCGGGAAGATCCCACATGCCGCGGAGCAACTAAGCCCATGCACAACAACTACTGAGCCTGTGCTCTAGAGCCCGTGAGCCACAACTACTGAGCCCACGTGCCACAACCACTGAAGCCTGCACACCTAGATCCCATGCTCCACAACAAATGAGGCCACTGCAATGAGAAGCCTGCATGCAGCAACAAAGATCCAATGCAGCCAAAAATAAATAAATAAATAAATTTATTAAAAAAAAAAGAAGCATACCAAATTAATCAAGTAGAAAATGTCAACACTGGACTAACTTAATAAATACCTAAGGATATTGATAGTAATGATTCCACAGGGACTTTTCAATAAAATGATCCAGTATTATTTTCTCATTTAGAAGTATACTTTAATAACAATACAAGTAAAATATAATCAGGGCATCATTATGACAATGCTAAAATATGCATATACCATAATGTACAATCATAATCTTAGATCTATAGCTAAATATATACTAAAGAAGATCTAAGAAACCATGGAGTATCCATGAAACTTGATACTATGAAATTTTAGCATTATAAAATGGTCCTGTTATATGATAAAGAAGAAATTGTTTTTCAGCTATAAATTAAAGTAGAATTTATGTCACACTAAATAAAGTCTATTCCAGGAAAGACAGTTAACATGCTAATTATTCCATACACATTTCAGTATATGTATTTTCAGTATTTAATGAAAATACATTTCATTAAGTTGTCAGTTTGTCAAGTAGTCTGATCAACAAGACAGTAGGAACAGTTAACAAAAAAGCAAGAAAATGTATTTCTATAATTCACAGGCTCTCAAGGTTAGAAGGGACTCTGCTTAGAGATCTATACCAACTTCTCCCATGTATTTGACATGAATCCCTTCTACTGTATCCTGAATGAAGGAAAGAAGAATACTTTTGAATATATACTATGTACAAAACTCTGTACCAAGCAATATGGTAGACTACATGACCTAAAAATTCTCACTCTGTAAACATCTCAAAATGCTAGATAAAGTAGAAAAAGTATTATCTAAAATGTACAGCTTGGTTCACAAGAAGGAAAGGGAAAACTCCAGGCAGTGGGAAAAAAGGAAAGAATGGAAAACCAGACTGATAAAGCTGTGGGCTGATGCTGTGGCCACCTGGGGTTTGGGAATTGTTCGTTTATCTGGCTCCTGAGGTTTGTTTTTTTTTTTTTTTTTAATATCGGCTCCTGAGTTTTAATGCCCATGTGGAAGGTAGGGAATTGGAACTGAGATGCCCCTCTTAGTGGAAATGTAGAATAGAAAAAGTTCTGCCGACTATTATTGAAAGATGATGAGGAAGCATGTCTGTTTCTTCCTAAGCTCTGCGTGATTAAAAAATTTCAAATCTGAGATCTAAATTGACACAGAAATTGCTTCCAGTCAGTGAAACTCCTCTGTTTCCTGCAGAAATTTTAAAAACAAAACCAAAAATTGCTCTTAAGGGATGCTCCCACATTCCAAACAACCAACAAGATTCTGTCCATAGGCCCTGAAAGCTCTTTATGAAAATTTATATAACACGAGAAAAAAACATCTTGGCCTTTCTCCCTGCCTTGTATGTGAATGTGATGCCTAGAGGAACAGCAACACATATAAAGGCCATGCTTGAAGAAAAGGCCAAAAAAACTGCAGAGGTGCCAGACCCGACAACGCTGAGCTACAGAACCATGCCAGCAGCCACATACTTCTGGATTTTTTGTTATGTGAGAAAAATAAATTCCTATCAGCTTAAGCCACTTTTGTGGGTTTTCTGAACCTGCAGCAGAAAGTATCCCTACCTGATTTAGTAACAGAAAAATCCATGCCACAAAATATACCCAGGAATAAACTTAAAAAGAAATGTAAAAGATAAAAAATCTTTAAAATGTTACTGAAGGGGCTTCCCTGGTGGCGCAGTGGTTGAGAATCTGCCTGCTAATGCAGGGGACACGGGTTTGAGCCCTGGTCTGGGAAGATCCCACATGCCGCGGAGCGACTAGGCCCGTGAGCCACAACTACTGAGCCTGCGCGTCTGGAGCCTGTGCTCCGCAACAAGAGAGGCCGCAATAAGTGAGAGGCCAGTGCATTGCAATGAAGAGTGGCCCCCGCTTGCCACAACTAGAGGAAGCCCTCACACAGAAACGAAGACCCAACACAGCCAAAAATAAATAAATAAATAAATAAATAATAAAAATAAAATGTTACTGAAGGGTCTAAAAGAAGTCTTGGAAGAATAGAAAGATACATTCTGTTCTTGAATAAAGAGACTCAATAATATGACAAAAATATTGAAGCTCCCTAAATTAATGTACAAGTGAAATATGATACCAATAAAAATGTCAAAATAATTTTTCCAGATGGAAAAAAAATACCATAATACCATGCATGGAAAAATATCATAAATAAAGTCAAAAGGCAAATGATAATATGGGGGGAAAATATCTGAAAAACAGATGACCAAGAGCTACTTTGGAGTTCCTACAAATCAACAAGGAAAAGAGCAACTACCCAAGAAAAAAATGGGCAAAACCTTAAACAGACTTTTCAGGAAAGGGAACACAAATATCATATAAATGCATGAAAAGAAGCTCAACCTTACTCATAAGACAGGTACAGATTAAACATAACATTTCCACATATCTGATTGGCAAAGATGAAAAAGTTTGATAATACAATAATGTACCGTGGGGGATGAAGACCTTCATATTGGTGGTAAGAGTATCAACTAGAACCACTACCTTGAATAGAGAATGACAAATTTTATTTCATAGTCCCTTTGACTCAGAAGTTTCACATCTAGAAATTTATTTTATAGCTCAGCAGGGCCACAGAAATATAATGTGAGCCACAATGCAAGTCATATTTACATTATATTCTTTTATTGTATTAACTGTCCGAAATCTGGTGTGTATTTTACACTTAAAGCACATCTCAATTCAGACTAGTCATATTTTAAGTGTTCGATAGCCATAGGTAGCTGGTGGCTATCAGCTTGGACAGTGCAGCTATAGATAAGAATAAAAACAATAGGTAACATTTATTATTTACTGGAGCCAGATACAATACTAAGCATTTTTCATGCACTATCTCCCTTAATCCTTACTCTCACCCTATGATGCTGGTTCTATTATTATTCTCAGTTTGTAGATGGAGAAACTAAAGCACAGAGAAATTAAGTAACTTGCCTTAGGTTACAAAGCTTCTGAGTGGCGGAGATAGGTTTCAAACCCACCCCATAATTCTCCTTTTTTTTTTTTTTTTTTTTTTTTTTTTT